ATTACATCAACAAGCTTCCCTTGATCAACTAGGTGGGTTACCTTGTCATAAAAGGAAATCAGGTTTGATAAGTACACAGAAGATAAACTCAAAGTGTACTGAATTATCTATGTGCACTTTTACCTCTAGGAACCTTGATCAAAACTGAGTTGGAGATGATCTAATATCTTCTGAAACTAACAGAGTCTTTTCAAAGCACTTAAGGTTAAAGCCTTTAAAGCCACCAAGGGAAAAGGTGGCATAAGTAAACTTGACTGCAACTATGTGATCTTTATTCATCAGAGCCATTTGAGATGGGAAATTCATATTAAACCTTCAAACAACTAAACCAAAAAATACTCTAGAAGTATCCAGATGTGAAATAAAGACTATGGGATTTAAATAATTTAAATTATTTATAAGAAATTTTCATAATTTTTCTTTAATAATCCAGTATACTCCATCATAAAAACTTCCATTGCTCATTCTTTATATTGCCTGAGACAACTGGAGACAACTATGATGAAATACTGCAAGGCTTTCTGTTAACTCCAGTGTTATGATTACATCTCATTCATGACCATGCTGTTCATGCAACCATTAACTAAAAGGAACTCCACATAGAGGTTATTGAGGCAATGGAATATATTTCTGAGTATTTGGTACTGAGGAGTAAAATAAAAAAATGCTGTCATATTAGTATCACATTAATTTAAATAATGTATATATATAGACACATTATTTTGCTATGCAGTAAGCATGTACAACAGAAAATAAACTACTTTAAGAAATGAGATTTCTTGGTATTTTCTTCTCTATCCTGTATTCTTTTACTAAGGACTGGTTTCTCAGAAGTCCAAATGTTGCAGCTGCTTTCTTTCACTGCCCGTTATACCAAAGGAAATTGATCTTAAACAACAGAATTTTAGCTACTTTGAAATCTTTGGGTCACCTTTCTTTTCAGGGTCCATTTCTGAGTGGTGCTGACCACCCTCAGTCCTTTTGGAAGTTAAAATCTGAACTGAGGCAGTTAAGGGTACTGAGATATTTTCAGTAGCTTTTCTCTGCCCACTGGTTGCTCGAAGTCCCATGAAAAGCAGATATTACCCTTCTTTGTGAGAACCTGGGGTACACAAGGGCTGGTAGGTGCTGTTTGCAGGTTGGACCCTGGCCCTAAAGCCTTGCTCTTCCCTCAAAGCATGCAGACACCAGCAGCAATGGAAAGCCCCTGCAGCAGCCTCTGCGCACCACAGAACACAAAATGTCATCTCAGAGACTGTATAATTCACTTTTTACCCACTTTTCAATGCAGTGACACACTGTGCAGTATTCACATGCATCATTTATACAGAAAAATGCAAGAAATAAAGTGCAACATCCAAGCTACATCTTAGTTACTGTCAGTTTACAGTCACACTCAAATGCTTGGTAAAATTAAGTCAGACTTTGTACTGAGAATCTCAGAGCTAGAGATAACGTACTGTAATTACATTACCTCTTCATTCCCCTTTTTCCTGTCCCACTCCTTTAGCTGCTCCCATCTTCCTTTTTACCTGAGTCTGCCATAACTGTTATTGAGACTTTGGCCATGCAAACATCTGCCCCCCCATTCAGCCTGGCAGAGGTGGTGGGGGGATGGCTGGGGACCATTCCCAGAGGAATGACAAGGATATCAACAGCCAGTTGATATTTCTGGCTTGCAGCAGGTACAGGCAGGAATAATTCTCATCTTTCCAATCTCTGTTTTTTCAGGTTGATTATTGGCTTCACTCGAAATGCAAAATTAACAGCTTAAAAGCTGTTACACCAGCAGCTGGTGCTTGCTGCAGACAGGACAAGGTTACTCCTTTTTTAGGCAGGGTTTCAGTGGAGAAGTCAGGATCTCAGTTCAGGACTCCCAGATCCCCAGTTGATCTTTAGCCACTGAATTATCCTTTCACTCCAATTGTTCCACCAGTACTTTCCAGGTTACATTGGTTCCTTCCATATTTTGCTGTTTCAGCTTCTGTAAACTGTAGTTAGTAGGGTTTGATTATTACCACACTGTGATAGTACCAGGATCATTCATTAGAAACCACAAATAACTGCACCAGAGTTTAAGTTTTCCTTAGCAATCACTTTAGTATATGTGAAGAAATCCAACCAAGTTAAACAAAGAGTTTCACATCATAAGGTCGCATCAAAAACCTTTTCTCCTTTTCCGGAACAGATGATCAGTTACAGCAGATAACTAAGCTGATTTGAAAACCATATCAATTAAAAAAAAATCAAACTGTTAAGTCATACTGTTCCGAAAAGATAGTTTATTGTAAGCATTAAAGGCTCCAGTTATGTTAAAAGGAAGATTTTTAATGGTTGAACTGTTGGACCAAGAGCTAGAACTCTGGAAACCTTTTGCATTTCTGCCATTTGTCTGTCATGTAATGTGTGCAATAGTCGAGAAGTTGCACCTCTAACTTCATCAACATGTTTGTTTAATCTTTCTGATCAGAGAGCCTCAGTTAGCATTTGTAAACTCCTGTGCAGCTCTGAAGAACGTGTTTTTTCAGACATGGTGACTGAAGATCATGTAAGCTTAAAACATAAACTAATGTTCTAAGTATCTCAAGCCAAAGGTGCCAGCAGACCAATATACCTTTACAGTAAAAAACCATGTAACTGTTGACTCTTATACATGTTTCTAAACTAACTGTTCACATTCCTTGAATTCATGATCCATTACACCTGTGCAAACTGTAAAATGTTACCAGACCATTGTATACTTTCTACATGTTGAAACGAAGAATGACGCTAGAAAGAAATAATAAATTAAATCTCCTTTTTGTATAAAGTTACAGCTTCTTATGTAGACTTTTTCTAAGTAGTTTAAATGTGGACCTATAGCAGTGCCTATTCATTTTACCATTTCCACTAAATGCATAGACTTACAATTTTGAATCTTTGAATCTCTCTCCATTACTGAAAAAAGTTCCGAATACGGCAATGAAAAACAACAGAAGATAAGAACTGGATTTACAAAGAGGAGTTGGATTTGCAAACCACTATTTTGGTTACATTTTGATTTGATGAGTTTTGTAAGACTATGTCATTTATCATATAAATTTTAGACACAGCTGCAGTTTTCTATTCGGTCTGTGAGTAAATGTGGAACTTGGCAGCTCCTAGAGATTCATGTCCAAGCAAGGACAAATTACAAACTTCTTGTTATTGCTCAAATGCACTTCTTTATGGAAAAAATAACTTAAACACAGAAATGCATTGCCGTAAGCAAAGAGGAAGCTTTGGAAAGTTTGTGACGAAGTTCTCCTGTCACATTGCACTCACCTTTATGAGTCAGTGTGGGATGGTTTGTTCCGAGATTGTCTTCCCTTGAGTTTTTAGGATTCTTTATGTAACTTAAATTTTACATAATTTAAAAAATGTTGTGTTTAAGGTCTTCACCAAAATAAATGTTTTGAAAAAGATATTTAAAAAAAAATTGACAAAAGTGAAGTATATGGCTTCATTTGAGATGTATTTTTATACTGTTTCATTTATTTAATAAAAGAAGTAAAGTTTTAAACAGGATGGTGTTTAAATAAAATAAATACCTGTACGTTTAAAATCTTCAAATTAAATCTTGGGCCATTCAGAGTTTTCTCCATTGTGATGGTATTAACTGGAACAGCTTTTTTAATTTATCAGTTTTATCAGTGTTTGCATAACTCTAACTTATTATCTTTTAATGAATAAAAGACTGGAATAAAAGTGTTTATCATGATAGGGAAGTTCATAATAAGGTATCACCATTCTGTGTCTCATGGCTTTTCATTTTAACTCTTTAATACTTATCCAACAAGAATGGACACAGTTGAAAGAGTTGGTTAGGTAGCCAATGGGAAGAAAGTTTTCCTATAAGTAAAAAGTACTCCAGTCTCACTGTTTTTTAAAAAAACTTGAAAGCCTGTATTGTTTACACAGATACACTTAAGGAGATTTTGCATCTATCTGAGATGCAATAGATATTGTCTTTTTAAAATACTGCTTTCCCCCAGCTCCTTGGCACGGTTTCTCACTAAGGTTAGCAGGGGAAGGAGCTCCCACCACAACAAAACCCTAGTTCTAAGTTTTTCCTTGTGTACATTGGCACTGAGAGAACAGTTCAGAGTTGTTGATGAAATCATTATTGTTATGGACATGTTTATTCATACAAAGTAACTTTTAATTGTCAAGGACCTATGCTTGAGAGCACAGGATGGCAAGAGTCATGATATATAGCTTGTGTTATTTCACAATGCTGTAACAATTGTGGATAGAGCCTTCCCAAATCTTCGTTCGCAAAGTCTAACCATGAATTTCACAATGAGAATGAAATATTTCACATGCCTTGAAAATTACTACAGCTGACGTTTGGAAAAGTTAAAAAAAAAGTCCTGGGGCTTTCTTCCAAAATGTAACATCACACACATCGTGCATGGCCAACAGAACACTCAGACACCACTCAGTCACTCAGTTGTGCCTCAGGATGCATCTTTGAATTCTCTCAGTAACCTCTGTACTGCTCCTTACCAGCTGTTTCTGGATTTGAAACTTTGTCTAAATTGCCAGGAAGAACAAGGAGTAGGTATGTCTATCTTTTTTTTTTTAATGTCTTATTTTTATTAAAATCATTTATATATTTTCTCTAAAAAGCCAAATCTTTATGCTCTCAGTTCTGACCTGTGCAGTCTAGTAAGACTTTCCCTTTCTTTTTAACCATGAAAGTAACTCTGAAGGTCAGTATTAGTTTATGTGTAAAACCAAGATTCATTTTACCTAATTACCCTAACTGGGTAATGAGAATTAATAGTAAAAATGCTGATAGATTCACTGTACATGGAAATTCATCAGAAATCAGCTCAAAGTAAGAAAAGTATGTCATTATTTGTATAAAAGATGACTGGAATGTGTTAAGTACATAAACTGAAAACCATTCTTGTGGCTAATTGTCCATTAGCACTAAATATTTTAAAATAGTTAGAGAAGAAAATTGTCTTTGAGGAAGAAATAAAATTAAACAACTAGAAAAAAATTGCATTTTCTGTCAAGAGGACATCTGGAGCTCTGAATTCATAGAAGGTTTGCTGTAGCACTCACTCGGACCCTGACTAGCAGAATCTGAAGAAATTTTTGCAACGATGAACTCTGCAGAATCTTCAGTCACAATTGCTACATGAACAAGAATTCAGACTTAGTTGTTACTAAAATCTATTTGTGATGGAAAATAAATGTTCCTGATGTTTTTAGTTTACCCCATCACGAACGAATTTGTGACTCCAGCCCAGCGATCACATCTGAGGTAACTGGCATAAGCTGATAGCAAGAAGTCATCAGGAAATGGGCAAGAAAGGACAATAAGAACTTCTTTTCTTCTATATTTAGTAGAAGAAATAATTCTGATTATGTTTAACTGTTATCTGTCTTTTACATTATTTTTTACTTATAATGTTACAGATTTTCTACTGTTGCTCTCATGCGTTAGGCTATAATAAGGTTAGATTGCTACTGTCTCACATATAGCCCCTTTGATGCTAATGAGCCATTTATTTGCTAAATATATCTCATCTGTAGTTTTACATCCTCTTGAATTATCTTGGTTTGCGTGAGGCTGTCTGCAAACTAGGTAATATTCAGACTGTTGTGAGGGAAGATGTTCAAATCCAGAGAGCTGTGTTAACTCAGGCAGTAGCTCAGTTCCCTGTCAAGACTGTCAGCTTGAGTGAGTTTATGAACTCAGATACAATTTAGCTGCTCACTTAATTCTACAATGGTGAAAAATGTTCTGTGCATTAGTACCAAATAGCATGATGTGGAATACCAGCACTTAACTAATTCCTAGAGGTGTCACAGACAGAAGTATGGCAAGCTGCTCAGATACATATATCACTGAGACTGTATGTATATGTAAAAGAGATGAACGATGGTCCTAAATGTTGTCTTTGGAAACTCCATCCTTAGCTGTGTAAAATTACAGAAACTGAAAGAGCAAAGTTAAATAGCTGCAGCAGAAAGCTAACATTCACAATGACTGATAGCAAAATGCTGTTTTTTTTCAAACGCATTCTTTTTTATGATTGACATGCTCTACTTACCTGAAGTGTTAGATGACACCACAGGCTCAGTAATATCTTGCCTGCCATAATGATTCTGAGACCGAATGCCTGTAAAAAACAAGATATAGGCACTATGGTCTAGCATGGCAACACCAGAAGAACGAAGTCAATGCAGGAGTCAGCTCTGACAACTCAGTGGATTTTCATGAGGATAAGGTTTTACCTGTCCTCTCACTTGGGAGACTGGGACAGCCTCTCTCCAGCTGAACTCAGTGAAGTTTTTGAACTGTAGAGGAGTAAATTTAGAGCTGCAGAGACTTTTCCTCCAGGCAAGATTTTGAGCACAAGATTTTGGAGGAGTTATGTTTTATTATTCAAACTGCTGACATTTGAGGGCAATAAGCTGTCTAATCTAAGCAATTTTGAACCCGAAGTTCAGGATGGGAGAAACTGAGAAGGAGCAAAAGAATGCAAAGTTCAAATAACAAGTGATGTCCATAGAGAGTGAGCAGCTTTTTCAGTTCTGGGGAAACAGGCATCATCCTGCTTAAGCAGGATGATAGAACACAATAATATATTAATATATATATTATATATATATATAATAGTATACACAGCATAGTAAATAAGAGTAAGAGAAAGGGCAGGGAACAATGCGAAGCTGGCTTTGTGTCAGCAGCGTGACTCCCTCTACTCTCAGGGAGATGGAATTGTCCCGTGTCTGTTTCTGTCATCAGTCTGGAAGAGACATACAGAACTACTTACACTAATTTGGTACTTTCCTTCCGCTGTGCCACTTTAAACAACGGAAGCAAGGAGAGGAAATTTCATAGGATGTAGAGTAAGTTACATCCTTGATAATACTGTGAACATTTCTCACTGTTGCACATAACAAGTATGGATTAATCTAGCCTATAATAATCAGTGAGGACTAATAAAGAACTTCCAGCAGTTAAAAAGTTTGTTACAGCACTCATGGGAGACAACTTTTGCAATTGTATGCTTCTTCTTTGCAGTCATTTGCTCTCGTTTGAAAGACGTCTTCTGTTCACTTCGGAATTTTTAAAAAAATGACTGAAACTCCTCTACTGAATATTACCTCCTCAAACCAGAGTGAAAACAGAAGCAATTCAGCTATTTGCCCAGAGCAGGATGACTGGTGGGACATCGTGTATTATATAGTGCCCAAGTACCTCGACGCTGTCTGTGCTATTGGAATGCCTGGAAATGTATTTGTTCTCCTCATTTATTCACTGCACAAGGGCCCCCTGAAGATAGCTGAAATCTACCTGATGAACCTAGCTGTTGCTGATCTTATCTTCCTCATGGGCCTCCCTTTCTGGGCAGAGAACATCAGGAATGAATTTAACTGGCCATTTGGCAGTTTCCTTTGCCGCAGCAACAGCGCATCCATCAGCCTAAACATGTACACCAGCATCTACTTGCTGGTGGCAGTCAGCGTGGATCGCTACTTGACTCTTGTCCATACCTTGAACCACAGACGGATACGGAGCAAAACTATTGCCAAAGGGATCTGCTTGCTCATCTGGTTCTTTGGCATCCTCCTCAGCATCCCAGTTTTTATGTTTCGGACTGTGAAAGACTATCCCCTGTGGAATATTTCAGCATGCACTTTGGACTTCCCCACCCCATCGTGGAAAACAGCTGAAAGCCTGGTACGCAGTGTAGTGGGGTTTGTGTTGCCATCTACAGCAATTATCTCCCTTAATTTCTCTACCATTAGGTCCCTACAAAAAAAAACAAGAGCACGAAGAGCGCTCGGGACAAAGGACTGCAAGGGGCACAAAGGCACGAAAGCTACCAGGCTGATCCTCACAGTGATACTGATGTTTCTTTTCTGTTGGACTCCTCACCATTTTTTTGTATTCCTTGATACATTGCACCATACGGAAGTGATCAAAGGCTGCTTCTGGGAGGAACTGCTCAATTTTGGGGAGCAGTTTGCTTATATGCTGGCTACCACCAACAGTTGCATTAACCCTGTGATTTATGTCTTTGTTGGGAAATTCTTCAGGCAAAAGGCTTTAGAAGTTTTTTCGCAGTTTATTCCCTGTGGATTTCCTTTGAAATGGGTATCTTTGAAAGAAATGTCATCAAATTTCAATGTGTTTTCAGTCAGGAGTAGTTTAACTTAATGAATATCATTTCCATCTTCATTTTTATATTGCAACTTATTTAATGTCATTGTAAATAGCATTAAAAATTAATATGAATTGCACTGATCTGCCATTCGCAGACTAAGATAATTAGCTACTAAAGTAAATCACTTGATTGCTTATTTGTCCTCAGGTTTACTTTTTTATGTCTGTGTTATCCATCCAAATACATAACATGTGATACTAGAAATTTATACCAAATAACCTAATCTCTTTTACCAATTACCAATGACTTGAAAGAAAAACTCTTTCAAGATACCAGAAAATATTACAGAAAACCATAAACCAGCTGAACATTTTACTTCATTGTATCTGTCATGACACCTAAAACACCAAATTGCAACAGGTGGTACAGAGCAAATATGAGCTTAATCTTTAGTTGATAACTGCATTTGAGCAATTATAGAATACCTCCAGTTATTTTGAACAACATTTTAAATGGTTTGCATTTTCACAGTAACATGGAAAATCTGAATATTTTTTGTGCATTTCAATTACATTCAGCACATAAATATTGTACAAAATGATATACCACAAAGAAATTGTACATAAGCTGTAAAAAGTGCAATGTAACACAGTAGCCTCCTCAAAATGACTTTTTTTATCCAATAAAATGTTACACAATTGGTCATCAAGTGCATAAAGATTCTTTTTATTTTTTATGTGTGAAAATACCCATGATGGCCATTGATACGGTATTCTTTTAGAATATCTTTCATCTGAGGCAAATCCTTAGAGACATATTTATATTTTTATGAACAAAAATTAATAAATTGCATAATATCTCATTTTTCATCATAGACTTTTTCTTTCTTATATTTTGGGTTTTTTTTTTTTATTTTGTCTCTTTTCCCTGTTCCTTTTGCGGAAGAGCAAATATATAGTTCTGTGATTAAAAATCCTTGTTGCTACCAAAATACAGACTCTGGTAGTAGAAGAAAACTTTTTTTCCATCACAGTCACAATTGCAGAGCAGACTTAAGGCAAGTGAGATATCTGTTTCCACAGCTCTAAAAGTATGTGTATGTACTGAAGTGGAAAAAGATATAGTGCAGCCTGTTCAGCCAGAAAGATATTGAGAGCACAAAGGAGCATACATTTGTATAACAATTTGTATAACAATTCATTTAATTAGTCATCATAAAACCTGTTCAGTCTTGTACTCACTGTAATAGCACTGCATTTTCTGCAGTTCTTTTTAGTGTTGCCATTTTGAATATGGAATTAATCTTGTATTTGATTGTAGAAATCTACCTGTTCAACTTCATTGCGGTAGGATTAGTGTTAGTTTTTAATGATTCTCTCAAATTTTTTGAATCTGAACAGCTGAAGCCTTTTGAAGACTTAAAAATCTATCTTTCTGCAATGATGGTTTAGGAATTAAGGGTGAATTAAGGGAGGAAGAATTACTCATTGGTTTACTAGTTTCACTCCTTCTGTGACAGCTGTTTTTAAAATAAATGCAAGGTTTAGCAGTAACAACGGCATGTGAAGTTCCCTGAGTCATCTGAGATCAAATCCTCATTCCTGTTTATTGTAAACTGTTGAACACTGTATTTATTTAATAAATCCCCAGCTGAATCCTTAATTAAAAAAACTTTCAAGTGGAGATATTTTATGAGGGAAAAAAAGACAAAAAAAGACAAAGAAAAGGTAAAAAATAAAATAAGCTGAAATCATGAAAAAGAAGGGTAGAAACAGAAGTGCCATTTTCCCTCTATGGATGAGGACCTTAAAAGGGAAAAATATTTGTCTTGTCTGACTGACACTAGTCCATGTTATGCAATGTAAACAAATAAAGGGAAAAACACTTCTTGAGTTCTGTGGCATATTTAGAGTATGAGCTAATAGATTAAAAATCAGTCTGAAATCTGAATTTAATGGAAAGCCTCCTGTTTCCTCCAACAGGCAAGTGACAAGGGCTTTCATGAAAGTCCTGCCTCTTTTACATATGTACAACTGTCAGCACAAGCATCTATAGTCTAAATACTGCTTTAAACCATTTAAAAAGGTCTTGCAAATGAATGGATTTACCCTCCAATATGATTGTATGTAAATGTGTGCATCTGTGACTGTATATTAGGGTCTACTGCTCATTAGTGGTGCTTTTTCCCTTCACTGCTTGCTGTACTGCTCACTGTGCTGTGCCTGGGGACATTTCAATAACAGCCATGGTGATGCTCCCAGGCTGGCGGGTGACCAGAGTCCTGCTGCTGTGTCTGTGCTGCTGTACTGGACAGGGTGGAACTCTGGTGTGAACTTGAGCTGAAGGGACTGTGACATACAGATGAGTCCATACTGGAGCAGAAATCCACCTGTAGCCTGCGGAGGACCACAGACCACAGCAGGTGGATGCCGGAAGGATGATGTGACCCCCTGAGAAGCCCATGCTGGAGCAGGTTTGCTGGCAGGACCTGTGACCCCATGGGGGAGCCATACTGGGGCAGTTTATGAAGCACTGCAGCCCATGGGAAGGATCCAGGTTGGAAAAGTTCAAGGAGGACTATCTCCCATGGGTGGGACCCCATGCTGGAGCAGGGGAAGCAAAGATTCCCTTGCAGCCTTTGGTGCAGACCATGGTGAAGCAGGCTGTCCCCCTGCAGCCTGTGGAGGACTATGATGTACTACACTAACGGTGGATTAGGGGAGGAGTTCATCACACTGTTAAGTCCTATAACCTGGCACAAAAGGACTAGGGTTGGAGATTGTAATTAATGTGCCTTTAAATTATGGTAACCCATGATTTGAGTTGCATGTTACAGGAATTGCTACAGCAGAAACCACCAAACCAATAGAGGAGAAGCCTTAAAAAAGAAGTATAAGTGCATCAGTGACAAGATCTGAGCTGGCTTTGGTGCCCAGTAACTCCAAGAAGCAGACTCCACTCCCCATGGGTTGTTCTTTTGAATAAACATCCTTTTAAGCTTTTCTTCTGTTACTTCTCACACTCCCGATAAACACTGTCAAGCATTAATCATTAAAAAACTTCTCTGCTGAAATATGAATCTTTTACAGTTGAGATACCAGCACCCTAAGAGTTTGTAAGTATAATTTAACTTGTTCTCCTCGTCCATCTGTATTGAATTAGTGTATTTCATATTTTAATAATAACTTCTCTAGGGCAAGGACTATCTTTTTGTTATCTGTTCAGGTCGTGCTTAACACCCAGACTTTAGTTTATAATAGAGCCCTCCTAGCCCTAGCACAATAAAACAACATTTAGTATTCATTGAAACCCATCTTAAGGAATAGTACAGCCTGGATTGACATTTGCAGTACCAAAATATTTTGACAAGCCATTTCAGTTTTACGAACTTTAGCTGTAAATGTAGATAGTTCTCATATTAGATTCCACCCTTAACAACAACAAGAACGGCAGAAACCACCACCAAACTGAGCTGATTGATTTCTAAAACTGAAACTGGAAGAAAAGGCTCTGATTACTAAAAATAAAGACAGATGCATTGTAGGAGGCGTGTCCCAGGGGCAAGGGAATCAAGGGACACGCACAGGGACAGACAACCCCATTTCAGAGATCTATAGCCACGTAGGCTTCTAACCTGCCAGGAGCCATCTTCCTGGGAAGAGAACTGTTTGTCATCCCTGTTAAAATCGCACCATATCAAGTAAAAGTATTGACTCTTGGATGGAAGAAAGCAGTTTGCTCACAGTACAGATGTGCTGGAGCTTTCACCAGCCAGATCCTCACACTGATGCTTAAATCCTGTGCAGTCACCTGTGACAGAGTTTCACGAGAGACCTGGTCACAGAGCAACCCACTTCACTGCTCATGGGTGCTGTGGGTCAAGGGATGTGGATGTCAAAAAAGCTGCTGCTTCACTGTCCCAGTTTGCTTCTTGGTGCGCTCCCAACAGTAGGAAAGGAATAAGTGACAAAAGCTTTGCCAAGATGGCAGGACCAGAATCAGACCGGGGAAATGGGGCTAGGTCTGGAGTTTAGTGGTGAACAGAGAAATATCTGATTGGACACTGGGAGTCAAGAAACAGAAGAAAAGGCTGAGGGGAGAGAATAAATCACCTACCAGTTCCTCTGTCAAGTCTTTTCCCCACGCTAGAATGTATGGAGGAGCAGGGAGGTCAAAGTGACCAAAAGAAAGCATTGAGGGAGAAGGAGACAGGGACTGACTGTACCAGGAAACACAATGAGAAGCAGTGTGCGTGTGAAGGGGCTTTGACAATGAACTGGGAAAGAGTTTGGACCTGCTAGCAAGGACCAGAGTAAAGTACAATTAAAGGAAGAAGAAGATGTCTCAGCATGGGACTTGGGATACTTTTTTCCCTTAAAAAAAAGCCGGTCAAAATTAAAAACATTAAAATCAATTAGAGAAATTTGAGTTTACCAAATCAAGTATTCAAGGGCCAGGAAATATTTGACTTAAGACTGTGTCCTAGTTAGGACAGCTGAGATCAGTTCATCATGGTGGGTGTAACCCAAAACTGTGTATTCTATAGCCTTCCATGTCGTTTCCCAGAAACTAGACTATTGTTGTCAATAGACTATTCTCTCTGCCCATAGAGCCTGACTCCTCAGGCTATAAACTAGGTGTTAAGAGGCCTGTGAGATAGGAGGATGTTTCTGTCCTCACACCCTTTGTGAAACTCCCCGCCCTGAGGGGAGTACCAAGCATTCCTGCCTGAACTGGAGGATATATAATCTTGGAGTTTTGGAACATTTTTCAACCCACTCGTGGGATCCAGAGGACGGCTGCATCTCATCGCTCTCAACCAGACTTAGACCACCACTGGACTGCGATCACCAGTTCTGGCCAGACTGCAGCAGCTCTCCCACCAGCAGGTTCTTCCCCTCTCCCTTTACTTTGGACTCAAACAGGGCCCAAGGAACACCACTTTGTTCATGCCCCAGGGCACTGGGTTATACATTTGGGTTTTTGTGGGTTGAGACCAATTGTTTGTTTGTATTATTGTACTTACTGTATTATTTTAATAAATTGTTATTCTGACTTATAATCTCTCCTTTGAGTTGAGTTCATTCCCCCTGCTGGTTAACTTTTAAACCAGC